CCCACTTTCTCTCTGCCCAGGGACTGGCCCCAAGGATGGGCAATCACATGGCCACATCTGCATGATCCTTGCAGGGTGCTCTTGGATGCAATCAGTTACTGCTGTGGGAAGCAGGTACTGAGGGTAATAGCTGCTCTCTAAATTTAGATGGAAAATCCCCACAGAGTTGGCAGAAAGAAATATCCCAAGCCTTCCTTGTGGCAAGTCTCTAACAGAAAAGTGGGGAGGGCAACGAGGGTGGCAGAGGAACAGGCCCTCCTCTTGCTGGGGTGCATTTACTCCAGGGGCTGATCCTCTCTGGGCCCAGGTCCTCCCTGCAGCCAGGTATTTTGTCAATCTGAATTGCGTTCATAGCTCTCCAGAGCCCCTCTGCAGCCAGGAGCAGAAGGGAGCTGTCTCCTTCCTTGCCAGCTGACTGGGTAGGTTTGTCAGGGGACTAAGCAGGGGCCAGCCCCGGCCCCAAACCTGTGAGAAGGAATGACCTGAGCCCCGAGACAAGCAACTCCCCTCTGGCTGGTGGAGGGTCACTCTGGCCTTAGCTCCTTGCCTGCTAGTTGTGGGGCTCTGTGTGATAACCTCCTTCTGTGCCTCAGTTTTCTCATCCATGAGGTGCACCAGGACCAGTCGGGAGGACTGGGTGAGAGCACAGGCACTCCATGCACAGCCAGCCAATGTTGCTGCTTGTCCTCATAGTCACAGTGCTGTGTGAATGAGACCCTCGTCCATCTGCTGTCCTGAGTTGCTGTCGTCATTATCCAAGGGCCTGTGAAAGAGTCCTCCTGCACAAAGAGGGGCTCCTCCTGAGGTTCATGAGCTGGGAGTCTGAAATCCCGTGACAGTAACACTTCAAGGGCAGTCAGTCTGGCACATGACAACGAGACAGCAGGCCTACCCCAGTCTACCTCCTGGAGGCCACCTAGCTCAGCCAGCTTTGACTCCTTGCCTGAAGGTCATAACCTGGCACCCACAGCCCTACTTCTGCCCCCCAGCTTTGCCACTGTTTACTGCAGGGCCTTGGGAAAGTCCTACGGTGGCAGACAGGAGCTCCCCAGAGCTGCAGAGGTTCAGCCAGTCTGAGGGTCAGCCTTAGGCAGAAGCCAAAAGAGACCCAGGCCAGGCCCTGCCGTGCTGGAAGAGGGGGAGCAGAGGGAGGAAGACAGCCAGATAGGCCAACGGCAGGACACTTTGGATGCTCAGTGCTGTGACAGGGACAGAGCAAGGGACTCCCTGAGGATTGAGGTGAGAAAAACTCACAGCCTCCCTGGCAGCCCCGCCCCCTCCCACAGACATCTGAGCAGGGAGAGAAATTGCAATGAGCCCTGCCTGGGCCCAGCCATGGCTGCTGTTTCATGTATTATCTTGTTTCTTGTTAGGAGCCAGCCCCACTTGCAAGGCGCGCTCCTGGCAGGGTCGGGAGTGGTGGGGGGAAAGAGATGTGGCCAGAAAGGCTGACAGGCCACTCACAGAGGCCTTCCTCCTGATCAGTCAGGCAGAACAGTGGGGGGTGGGTGGGAAGGTGGGGGTCGTCTGAAGAAGGAGCCGGATGTCTGTACGGCCCTTGGCGCCTCCATCTCCCCGCCCATCCTTTCACACTTGGTGACTCCCCTCTCTCCTGGCCCCATTCAGCCCTTGACTCCCCTTAGATAAGCCAGAAATCATTGGTTCCCTGTCCTCTCCTTCTACTGTGCGTCTTGGGCTCCTCATCTTCCCTCACCTCCTCTGCCTGTGCAGCCAATGGGCGTGGGCGACTGGCTCTCACCCTGCATCATCTGTAATGTATATATCCAGACATGCATGGCTTCTCGGGAGGACAAGACAAGGAGAGGGAGCCCGTTCAGCTGGCCGGAGGGTTTATAACCAGGTTATGAACCTGAACCTGAGCCTCCCGAATGGGGTGTTAATGGCTCCTGGTTCCTAGCCCCAGAAATCAATCACTGTGCAGGCTGACTTGCCCTGCCCTCCTCCCCTCCTCTCCTCCTGCCTCCTCCTCTCCCTGCTTGTGCTCATAACCTCTGGATTGGGGTGCTGGTTGGCTGCCTGACTGGCCTACCTTCAACCTCAGCTACAAGTGCAGCTTGGGGAGCTGCCACGGGCCCTTTTTTAAAGAGTCTGGATGTGCCCTTTTGGGAGTCCCCGAAGGTCATAGGTGGGATGTGTGCTCCTGAAAGCATGGCAACTGTCAGTGAGATGCGTCCAGAAGACTCTGGTTGAAGTGCTGCAGACAAGGAAGCCAGTTTACCCAAAGGTGGAGCAGTGCGGCCAGGGTGTTTGACATCAGCAAATGCCTTCAGCTGGATATTGCTCTCTGTGGACTGAATGGTTGCCCAGAAATAAAGCCTCAGGTGTGTGCACCAAGTACTGGCCCCCCAGATGGAGGGGTTTCAAGTGGAAGGCATGTGACTGGGCCAGCACTCAGAGCACAGTACTACCAGGTCCTGGGCAGGGGCTACGTTGAGCAAGGAGGGCAAATCTGTTCGTGGGTGGTGCATAGGCAAAGCTCCTGGGGCAACAGGAGCCTTCCTTCTCTGACCAAGTTGGGACCGTATATCAGGCCCAAGGCTTCCTGTGCCTCTCTCCAAAGCCCCACTGGCCTAAGAGTGAGGACCTGACGAAAGTTGCCTTAACAGGTTTGATGCCCTCAGCCAAAGGGCACCATGTCAGAGAGTCAGAGCTGAGCCGACAGCAGTGACACTGCCAAGCAAAGACCTCTTTACCCGAAGCAAGACCTGCCATCCTAGCCCCTCCACCTTGCCTATGGCTGGAAGTCCCTGGGGCTACTTTCAGAGTCTTTGGGAAGCACCTGAGAGGTTCAAGAGAGGATGGAGTCTGTCAGAAATGACATGGCCATTTCCCAAAGGCCACCCCCAAGAAGGGAAGGGAAAGGAGTGGCCTGCTGTTGACCCCAAGCTAGTGCTGGGTGCCTCGGACTTCTGAGTGGAAGGGAGACGATGGGATGGATTCAGAGCAGTGATGTACAGGGTGAGGGCTGGAACTGACCAGTCACGTCACCCTGAGATTCGCTAGGGGCAGACAGGACCTGAGTAGGTAGACCTGTTGCTTCAAGATGGAGGCCCAGCTGTGGTGCCAAGTCAGCAACAGAACTTGCCTTCACGTTCTCTTTGAAAGGTTCTGCAATTTATTCTCAGCACCCAAAAGGCACGGCGGTCTTGCTAGACAAGAAAAGTTCCTGGGGGATGAGGAACCCTGTTTCCAGGCCAAGGAGGCCCATGCCTTTCAATTTCCCAGGTATCTTTGGACCAACCTGGCCCTTTGCTTTCTTGTCTTCAAGCAGTGGGGGTAGAGGGGTCTTGTTGCCTGGAGAGCAGAGTTGCTGTGGGAGGCCTGAGGTGGGAGCTTCGCGGATGGGGGACAGCACTCATCAATCCAGACTTCCTTCCCCAGCTTTTTGCCCTGATCACTAAGTACAGGATGGAGGGGGGTGGTTACAAACGTGTCTAGAAACTCTTCTGAGTCTTCACAATCTTTGCCAGGGCCTAACTGAGTGCCCAGGCCACATGCACAGCTGCCATATGTCCTCTGCAAGTAGGATCATGGGCAGGTCAGAGTTAGCCTCCCTCTTTTGTGTCTGTGTATTTTCACGTGTCAACAACAAAGGAAGTCCTATTGCTGTAAAGTATCGATTTATCATGTATCAGTTTTCACGAAAAGGTCTCATCCTTTCAGGACACCTGACGATACGGACTGTAGGAGAAACACGGGTCCAGCAGGCAGGAGCCTGCACGCATCACATTGTAGGCTTCCCGTGTGGTCATAATGGCAGGTGCAAGCCCAAGTCCTGAGCACCTCAGCTGTGTGATGCTGAAGGAAAGACACCCACAGAATGCAATCCAGAGTCAGAGGAGGCTGAGAAGGCCCAAGCTCCAGAGCCAGGACAAGTTGTGAAGCTGGTGTCCTCCGCCTGGAAGGACTGAGCTGCTTGAGGCTGAAAGTAAAAAGGGTAGTCATGGCCCAAGGGCAGGTGGTGTGCCAGCTGTAGCAGCCAGACTCTGCCCAGACTCACACATCCTCCTCTAAACTGCAGCAAAGCGGGTTTGCGGGGGGACTCTGGGATCATGGCAATCCCACCCTTCTCCCCAAATGTACAGACCAGGAAGCCTGGGCTCGAAGGTAGGAAGGGACTTGGGTGCCAGAGGCAAAGCTCCACTCTTCCTCTCTTTTCCAGGGTAATGACTCAGGGAATTCAGCAGTGCTGCAGGACACTGGTCAGACGCCAGGCCTCCCTTGGCTGCCCCTCATCCATGGTGCTGCTACAGCTTAGCGTCCCAGCCCTGCTGGCCTCACCCTGTTTTGCGCTTTCTGGGTAGAGAAGCCAGGCTTGACTGCCCATGGCCATAGGCTGGTTCCCAACATCCCCCCAGTGCAGGTCTGAGCCCAGCTCATCCATGACTGGTTCTGGGAGTCTTGGAATGACTAGCCCTGCCTTTGCCTCCTCCTCCCCAAACCTGGGTGCAATGGGTATCCTGTACCCACGCTCAACTGAAGCTCTAGGCTTCTGAATTCATCCTGCCCCACTACATTACTGAGCAACCACTGAGAACAGAAGCACTGCCTCAGTTTCCCTAACTGTAGCATGGGAAAGTCTCTGACTTCAAAACTGGTGTAAGGATAAAATGAGGTTTTGATGGGAAGGCTTGTGATCTTTGGTGCAAAGAAAAGCAAATGGGACTGGTGCCAACATCCTCTTCCCCCACACTCTCCTAGCCCTCCCCACATCCTGGCTCCCCTCTTCCAGGCACCGAGCTCACACGTTAATTCCTCTTAGGCAAAATCTGACACATGAGAACGGGAGAGGACTGTGGCGGGAGACCGGGTGGGGCAGTTGCAGCGCTGCAACGGGACCTCGTATTCACTCCATTTCGGAGCGGGAGTGGCCCCGGAGACCAAGCTGTTCACTTCTGCTGGAAGCAGGATGGCCAGTGTAGACTTCCAGGTCAACCCCACTAGCCACAGCCTAGTCAGCCCCTCCCACTCCACTCCAGCGCCCAAGCTCGGGGTCCAGGCAACCGCGCTGTTGGGAGCTGGGGGCACAGCATCATCACGCAGGACTCGAGTTGTGGCAGAGGCTTGCAGGTGGAGGAAGGCGGGTGGGGGCGTGAGAGGTGGAGGGAGATGTTGGGGCAGGCCGCCGAGGCTTCTCCCATCCCTCCCCGGCGCTGCTGGCGACATTGCCGCTCCTGGGCAGGGGCGGAGAAGACCGCGAACGGGAGGGGAGGAGGCGGAGGCGGAGGCGCGGAGGCGGAGGCGGTGGCGGAGGCGGGATTTGGAGTTTCCTCCGCAGCAGCAGCGGCGGCGGCGGCCCCTAGGCTCCAGGCGAGGCCGCCGCCGGGGCTCTGGCGTTGGCGTTTGGCGTTGCCGGGCGCTTTCCGCTGCTCAAGCTACCGCAACTTCCCGCCGCTACGACGCCGGGGGTCGCGGGCCGAGCCCAGCCGAGGTGAGCAGAGCACGCGGCCCCGGGGGGCTCCACCCCACCCGACCCTGCCTGGCTGCCCTCCCCACGTGCGTTTCTCTTACCCTGCCCCCAAAGTCCAACAACGCACACCGACCCGGGGCCAAGGCACGCGCCCTTGCAAGACCCATTGGTTCCTACCACTGCACACTAACCTCACCTGCCCGTGCGCCTCCATGTCCCCTGCCACTGCCACCAGCTGCACTATCGCGAGGCGCGCAAACACGCACGCGGCCCAGGTCCCTGTAGCGCACACATCAGCAGCCCCTGACCCACTACTCACCACTGTCCTAACTCACGCTACACCATCCCAGACCCTGCCACGCCCAGTGTATACCAGGCGCGCACGCGTTGCCAACACATCCTGCGCTATCTGCACGAACGTAGCTCCCACACACACTCTGTGCCCCACCATCTCAAACTTCCCATATGCCCATTACAGACACCCACCCACGTTCCCAGCCCAGAGACACTGTAGTCCACCACTACAACACAAACCCACATCCCAGAGGCCGACCTCCCCATTACCAAGCAGACACCTCCAGCATCCCGACACGACTCTCATACACCCCAACTGCATGAACACCTGCTTGATTGCATGCTCTCCAGCATCCTGCCCAACCCCCTTCGCAAATAGCCCTCAACACCACCCCACCACATCGCTGAGTCCCTCCCACCACTCCCCCCCCCAACACCTGGCACACGGGCTCTAAAGCTGCAGCATTTGGTGGCATCCTTGCCAGGGCAGCGCTTACTAGTCTGGTCCCCCCTCCCCAGGTGCCTCCCTAAACAGACTCGAGACTCCCGGGGAACTGACTTGACCTCTTCTTCTCTAAGAGATAAAGAAGCACTTTGGGGCCCAAGTAAAGTAGTAGGTGTGGAGGCGAGGGCCGCGGGGGTGGAGGGAGGGCAGACAGTGGCAGGGACTGAAATGGAGAAGGCCCAGCTGGGACCAAAGGGGGTGCCAGCTGCCGGCCCTCACGCACGTACCGTAAGGGCTGGAGTCGCGTGCACTGTCTGTGTCCCTGTCCTCGCGTGGGTGCTGTGAGGAGGGCTGTGTGTGCACGTGTGCATGTGGCGTGTGGGGGAGAGTGATCGGCAGGAGGAAGAAGCAGGAGCGGCACCCCCGGGCTGCCCAGGCAGCAATCGGTTTCATTCATTCATGCCTTCTTTGGGTTAACGAGCATTTCTTCCTTGTGGCGCCGGGCGCGTGCCAGCCCTGCACTGGGGGCTGGGGCCAGCTTGGGGCGGGCACACACCGTTCCTGCCTTGGAGGAACTCCCAGTCCCTGCGAGGAGCTGACCAGGAGAGCAGAAAGCCATTCCAGCGGAGAGTGGATTTGGTGGAAAAGACACTGGATTTGGCAGGAACATGTCTCTGGGAGTTGTGCTCCTGGCCATGTGACGGGCCGCGACAGCCGAAATCTGCTGCACTCGGGCCGGCGGGAACGGTGCATTTCGTGCGGGACAAGGCGAGGCGCGCGCTCGGGAGGCTCGCGGGCCCAGGGAGCGCACCGCCGCGCGCGCAGGGCTGCGGGGGGCGTTGGCCTGGCAGGGCGGAGGCCCGGGTGCCCGGTGGGGCGGCAGTGGCGCAGCGCCCACCCTGCGGTGAGTCGCGAGCACGCCGCCTGGCTCCGCCGCCCGGGCGGCGCGGGGGTGGGGAGCAGAGCGAGACCCGACACGGTCTTGCTCCCCAAGCCCAGCCCGCTTGGGGAGCGGCGGGGCGGGGCCAGCCCCAGAGTCGGCGCTTGCAGGGGGACCGAGTGGGGCGGCCCCGGCGA